AGGTGAAGAAGACTCATCCACATGTTTAGAATTTTCTTCAAGTGCTATGGCCTCTTGCTTTTGATTCTCCTTATAGACTATTTCTCCTTGCTCCTTCCCACTCCTCAATGTGATTGCATTCAAATTGGCTTTAGGGTTAGCCATGATGTTAGAAAGAAGAGTAGGAGCTTGTGCATTTGAAACACTAACTTAATTAACGAAAGCACTCAATTGAGAATTCAAGTTATGAAAATTGGTATTCATGGTTTCAAGCAAAGTTTGATACTTGTTTTCCATTTCAAACACCTTTTTAGCTAACAAGTTATTATCAATAAAAGAATTTGATGAAGAATCAATAGGAATAAGTCTTTTATTAGAAGAAGAAAGATTGAAAGAGCTACCTCCTTGTTAAAACCATTTGAAGAACTACCTTATTTGAAGTAATTGTCTCAGCCTTGGTTGCTTGAGAATGCTTCTCTTGCTTGATTGTCTTAGAGAGATCTATTTAAGTTAACATACAAAAAATTAGGATGATCTTTTTATTGAGGATTTTATGTATTGGAACACATACCTTGATTTGACCTCCCTCCATAAATTACCTCCCATTATATATGGCATTTACTTGCTCAAACTTTATTGGACAATCCCTATCTAAATGTAATAAATAGTCACATAAAGTACAAGAAGAAGGAATCAATGCTTGAAAGGTACTCATATTGTTAACTTGACAAAGTTGGGATGCCAACATTCTCTTAATCTTGGCAGCAAGCAAATCAACTTAGGCTTCATCAAAAACATTGGTAGAAACTAAATGTGCTCCCCTCTTTTATCTTGTAGAATATTGAGATCCACTTGAGGACATCTTTCCAATAAGCTCCTAAGCCCTTATAGGAGTCAAATCTATGAGAAAGCCATTATTAGCTGTATCTATATTTATCTTGTCCCTTAATATGAGTCCTTTATAGAAATATTTCACCAAATGTTCACTTGTAATTTGATGGTGAGGGCATTTGGCTAATAACCCTTAGAATCTTGTCTAATACTTATACAAACTCTCATCATCTTCTTATTGAATCCTATATATTTTCTTCCTAAGGCTTGTGACCTTTGAATTTGGGAAGAACTTTTCAAGAAAGAGACTTCTTAATTCACCCCAAGTAGAGACTTTGACATAGGGAGGATAGTTAAAGTATCATTCCTTGGCTAGCCCTTTAAGACAAAATACAAAAGACCTGGCTTGCACATCACTTACATTTACAATCCCTAGTTTCATAGTATCATAAACCAAGAACAATGTGTGTAGAAATCTATGATGGTCTTCACCTAGCAAACCATGAAAGTTAGGCAAAGAACTAATTAAGGAAGGTTTAACCTCAAAAGTCAAATCATTAGGAGCAACATATAAACCATATGAGTTATCATTCCAATTAGGAGATTTCAATTGCTTTATACTTCTCTCTTCATTTGGGTTATGAAAATCAAGATGTTTATGATTGACATTCCCATCATCATGCAAATAATTGTTTTTTTCTATTTCTATTTTCATTATTAAAAACATGCTCATGACCACACCCTTAACCAACCCTAGCTTCCATTGTAAAATTTACCACCAAAAGAGAAAAAACTTGTGGTTGGTTTCTCCTTAGTTTCCAAAAAGTTTTTCTATTTTGAGGGTCAAATTCCACAAAAGAAGTTGATTTGCTTTAGGTCATACACCAAACAAAGAAAAACAAGCAACAACAACAAGATACTAAAAACTAAAATTCACAAAAATAATGAAAAATCACACAAAACTTGCAAGAATGACAAAAACACTAAAATTGATGAAAAATATAGAAAATTATAGAAAAATAAAATGCAAAAAAATAAAATTAAACACCTAAAACAATCACAAAAATGACTATGGCCTAACTCCCTGATAGCGGCAATAAATATAAAATCCATAATTTGTATTAGTGTCACCACCACCATCATTGCATGCATAAAAAAAACCATATGTGCTGATTCTTATAAAATATTGGCTGTGATTATGTCTAAAAAATGATCATTTCTTGTATATAACCTTGTTGCCTATAGCTCTAAGAAGCAGTCCTTTGTCTCTTGTTCCAATATTAAAGCTAAATGCAAGGAAATTGCTACCTTGGCCTATGAATTAGTTTGGATTCAACAAGTATTACAAGATTTGGGTGTTCTTCTTCCCATTTTTTCCTCATTTAATTTTCTTCGAATGATTTTGGAGCTACCTTGCTATTAATCTTTGTTTTCATTCTCGAGCCAAACTTATTGCCTTATATTAACATTTTATTCATAAATGCCTTGCTACTAAACTATTTCAAGTTATTTATTCATCTTTAAAAGATCAATTGGTTGACTTATTGACCAAACCATCATTAGCTCCTTGGTTTACTGCCTTTCATTTAAGCTATCATGATCTTGGAACTCCCTTTTCCTTAAATCATGATGGTCTTAGGTTGATTAACCTCTTGATCTTTGCTAAGTTAGCCAAACTCTCAAAATGTAGGCAAAGAGGCTAGAACACATGAAAGAGTGGGGAGCTTATGTGAAAGAATTTGAAAGCTTTACTACTTTGCTTGATGGTTACAAACGAGGGTGTGAGGGTATTTATAGACCTCCCACATCTTTCAAAAAGTTCCCACCTTCTTATTGGATGATGGAAATCATCCAACAGTGTACAATGCTTTTCTAGAATAGTCAATGGTAATATCTAATTAAATACTCTAGATATTTACAAGGACCCTTCTAGAAACTTATGGAGGAATGTAGAGATGTTTAGAATATTTTGAAATATTCTAAGATACTCCAGATTGTTCCACACATAAGTCTAATTGTATTTTAAGGTACTAAAAATCAAATCGGTGATTAAATCAATTAAGGAACTGGTATAAAAGTAAGCAATCAAAATTGTAATCAAACATGATAAAACCAATCATAAACAAATTATTTTATTAAATTAGTCAAAATACTAGTTTAATAGTTTGCCTATTCAACCAGGAAGGTTGACTCAAATTTTCATACCATGTTGTATGATGACTCCAAATATTTTTATATGTTGTATGGGAATTTTGAAATCAATTCGGAATCATCTAAGTAATTTTGAGAGAAACCATTATTTGAGAAAAAGAAAAGAAAAATGCTTTTGAAAATGAGAAGCGAGTTGATAGCATTGTATTAAAATGAATTGGTTACTTGAGCAAAAATTGCATTAATGGTATTATGTTGTATATAGGATAATCCAAATAAGGAGTCAAATGCTATAAGTAATTAAACATTAATGATAAAGCAAGCAAACTTAAAATTTATACCATAGCATCTCTACTTATGCTAGAATGTAATTCTTAATGATAGTAACAAAATGATTTTGCACTGCAATGTAATCGTTGTTTAGTGAAATAGACAACTTTGTTGAAAATTGATATTTTCAAGGTTTTAAAGGTTTTGGTTCATCATTCTTTGACTCCAATGGCTCAAGAGCATCTAGGAGAGAAGGAAGAAGCAATTTATGAGATGGAGAAGCTTGGGTTTCAAAGCTATGTGTGGCTGACTCTCCTTAAACCTAGAGGAGCTTTAAACCTATTGATGGATTAGACCAATTTTTATGTATTAGTTAAGCTAAATGTTGATTTTGGTTACTCATTTTTGTGCTTGAATGTCTATTTGATACTTGGCCAATATTAAATGTGATTTTGGGTGTTGGGATTTTTTCTTGATAAAGAGGAATCTCATTTGGACCATTAGATTGAATAATAGGGTATTAAATTTTATCTAATTTATAATTAGGATAGACATACCTAATTGCCTCATAAAATCATTATGGAGTGTTATTGGTTTGAAATGCCTCAAGGATAATTGTGTTAGACACAACATAATTAATTTGAGAGAGGGTTATTAGTAGATCAAAAGACACTTGTAACTATTAATACTCAATTAACAAAATTGGCATCGAAATCAATTAATTAGGTTAGAATGGAGTCAATGAAGTTAACAGGGGATTAGTGACTCTAAATTTCTTTTTACACAAATGGTTGTTAGATTAAGAATCTCAGTGCATTTTATGAATTTAATTTTAATTTTAGTTAATCAATCCATTATAATTAGTTTTGCTTAATGTAAACAAACATGGGAGCTTTGTTGCCTAGTCATTATTTTGTTTGATTTTCAAGGGATCGACCTTAACACACCAATATATCTCATATTCACGTGATACACTTTTCATGTAAAAATTTGTGTACATCATTATACTACTAACCCAATTTGACTTGCTAGGGGTATTGACTCTTCCACCTCAAGCTTTGACTTTCCACATCACCTTCCTCCTCAAATACTATCACATGACTTAGGGCTTGTCTGGTTTTTATTTTTAAAACAAAAAAATCATTTTAATAAATGTTTTGGATTTAATTGTTTTTAAAATTGTTTTCATTTTTTGTTTTTAAAAACAGAAAAATGTAAATATATTAAACTTGTTTTCATTTTATTTTTTGCTTGACCAATTTCTATCATAAACCATTGTCATTAACTATTTGCAACTACCACTATTAGCCTATTTTTAATTATAAACCTATTTTTAAATTAATACAACTAAATATATTTTCATTTTGTTTTTTTTAAAAAACAATTGTAAAAACTGCATTATAAAATGATTTTTAAGAAACAAAAAATAAGGTCAATAGAAGCCAAATAGGTCCTTAGATTTTGTATCTAGAAATTTCTTTATATTATTTATCATTGCCATGTATCTTGTAAGGAGATGCTACCTTCCTCAGTCTACAAATATTGAGCACGGTAATGATTTCAATATGAAATGAAATATAGAAGACAGATATTTTGTCTTTTAGTTTTAGAAAGACAAAATTTGTCTTTAATCCTCTAATTTTATGTAAAATTATAATCTAAAGTAAGTTATATATAATAATTTTGCTTTGATTATGTTGAAATAAGGAGCAAGAATAAAAGAGAAATTAATCATATATTCGTAAAATCAGAGTCCAAACATTAAACACTGGATTCAACTTTTAGGCTTTTAGCACTGTAAAAATAATACGTACACAACACTTACGCACCACGATATATATAGAGCTAAAACCAATTACACCTTCTGAAAATACTAAACTTGATCAAATCTAATTAATGGCTTTCCACTTCGTCATTACTTTTATTCCCTAAACGTAGCCATCAATATGAACTCAGCCCGAATTAATTGACTTTTCGACAATTGGTCCTAATCTGACCATTGGATCCTGTGAGAGGGCTGAGGTTTCCCATCTTGATCATAGCATTGGCAAAGTCAGCTCTGAAAGGCCCAAGGTTATTACTATAAACAGTGACTTGAGAATCTGTGGATCCTCCATTGAAGAGCTGTTGGTCGGAGTGCATCAAGCCCTTCTTGCACAACAGGTTCTTGAAGTAAGCGTTGTCGAACGAGTTGGGAGTGGTTGCGTCAAGATTAGCCAAGTTGGTGTTACCACCTGCTCTCGGACAGTGTCCTTGTAACGCCTTTGCGAAGGAGGAATCAATGTTGGTCTCGTTGTAAATCCTCGCCCTAAAATTTAAACACTGTGCTTTCCCTATTGTGTGAGATCCTGAACAATACAGGAGGTTTATATATAATCAATTACCTCAGCTACGATGATTAAATTATTTTGCACATATATAAGTAAATACAAACATTGGTTTTCTTAATAATATTCACATACCTATATACGTATCAAAATTAATTATAAACAAAAAAATATGATTTGTAAAATAATTTATATAATTTTTGGATAATTTTTAAAAAAGTATAATTGAAAATAAGATTAAAAAGCAAGTAATAGTAGCTTATAAAATAATCATGATTTTGAGTTCATAATTAATTTTGACATGTATGGAAGTATTTGGATAATTTTAAGAAAATTATAGTTTTGAGTTCATTATTGATTTTGGCATATATAATGGGTGTTTAGATTTTTTAAAAAGATGGTTTTGAAATCATAATTAATTTTAACATGTAATAGGAATGTTTGGATATATCTTTACAAAATCATGGTTTCACTTGATTTTTAACTCTAATTAAAATTAATTTTATACCTCATAACATAATCAATTATATTCAAAATCAAAATCAATCATATTAATCAATTTTTTTATATTCAATTATACCAAACTAAAATCCAAACACACTCTATATCTTAAGCCATCTAAACTTTAAGACACTATTATATAATTCGTCTTCAAGTACCACTCTATGACGTGAGACTTTTCTTAATTAATAGCAAGCTAAGTCAATTTACACTTCACATCCTAACTGAATTACCTGAGAGTGCAACCATTTCTTTAGCAGTGAAACCTTTGTTAGAGAAAGCAGTGATTAGAGCATTAAGATCCAAAGTCGGAGCCGGCAAGTCAGAGTTAGCAGAACTAAAACTTGCTGTAGTTGAATCTCTTCTTCCCAACAGTACCGTCCAACTGGGCCCACCAAGCTGAGAAATTTCTTCAATGTGTTAATGTGTCTCGTCTTAGATAATTATATTATGAACCCGTTTGTTTTAGTTTATTTTATAAAAAAATTTACTTATATTTTTAAAAAATTATTTTGTAATGTTTTTTTTATATTTATTTAAATTTTGAAAGTAATCAAAATTAAAAAAAAAAGATTTTTAATTATTTTAAGAAGCTACCTTAAGTAACTTTTTAAAAATAATCTAATGCAATAAATAAAATATAGTGCTTTAAAGAGTCGAGATACGTGAAAATATCATAAAATTTTAAAATAATGTAATAAAAAATTATTAAAAATTAAGGAAGATATAATAAAATTTAAAAATAGCTAACTAATAATCACTTTTTTATTATTATAATCAAACATAAAATAATGTCTACTTTTTACAAAATCCTTGTAAAATAAATCTCTTTTTATAAAATCTCTAAACTACCTAAAAATCACTTATTTTTTTATCTTAAACAAATGGCTCTGCATGTCTCAAAAGATCATTAATCTTAATGTGATTATTATTGCTTACAGCAACAACAGAGTCTCTAGCAGCAACAGCCACGATATCAGCACAGGAGACAACGCCGGGGCACAAAGTCTCGACCTTCGATTTAATGTTGTCGATGACCCCGAAACCTCTGACAGAGTTAACGTTTGGCATTGCGGTCTTCTCGCCTCTGAAACTTGAAGTATCATCTAAAAGGATAGACGCATCACATCCCTGCAGAAGCAGTATGGAAATTAATAACAGCCAATGCTTATTAAAATTCTTTCTATGCATCTATTGACCTGGTCCTTGATATAATAACCCAACAAATTGGACATTAATATATATATATATATATAGAGAGAGAGAGAGAGAGAGATAACTGCATGAAACAAAACATATATAGTTCGTAAGAAGAATTAAAATTGCGCATGTACAAACACACACATACACTTCTGGCTTGCTATATATAATCCGAATTAACTGTTAGTCCAACGTGACGTTTGTAAGGACCTTGCTAATATATAATGAACCCAGAAGAATGCAACTAATAATGTTTGTGTATACTATTTTTGTAATCTCACCCACCCTATCACTCTATTCGTGTGGGTGGGTGTGGTTTTTATTGGATCGTGTAGTGAAGCGTATAATTAAATGCACATCAAACAAAAGCAAAACGTTGCAAGACATTGTATCAAACAAGTAAACGAAGACAAAGTGAGATACAACACACACACAGATATATATATATAGAGAGAGAGAGGGGGGGAAGCGAGACTTGCTTGAACGAAGCAATCATGGAAGTGAAGACGAAGAAGGGACGCTCCCATGCGAGCCTCTTTAGCCACAGCAGCGGTTACTGCTCTTTTAATGGTGGTAAGGGCTAAGGGACATGATGTGGCATAAAAATTTGAAGACAACTGATGAGCTGAAACAATACCAAGGACACAAGACACGAAGAAGAAAAGGCTGTGTCTGAGATTTAGACCAAACATGGCTATTATAACTTAAAGGAAATTGCAGAGAAGATGAACATATATAACTAACTTTGTAGCAAGAAGTAATGCTTCTTATGGTTTTCGAATGGGCCGGATTGCGAGTGTAGTTATAGGGGGAAAGCTTCGTGTGTCATGTTCAAATGGTCAACATCCATGAGCCCCACAAACTACATTTGAATATTCAACCATGCTTCCGGAGAAGGGACACCCTTCCCTACCGCCCTTTTTTACCTCCATTTTCACCAAACGGCGCCGTTTGGATTGTTTTTTTTTTTTTAAAAAAAGGTACTGAAAGCAATTAAAGAAAATCTCTCCCTGTCGGTCGTCTCCCTCTTGGCACTACTGCCCTCTTTCTTCTTCCTAGATTCATCCAATACGTGTGCTTTGATTGTATCACCAACCTTATCTTCATCATCTATCAAGCGCACTTAATTAGCCAATAATTTGTTTCTTGATCCTTGGATATTTTCTAATTCACTGAAGGGTCTCTAACTCTGATACACTCAAAACGTTCCAAGATTGAGCAAAACAATGGCAGACGAGGCAGGCCTGCTGAATACATGGGAGAGCATGTTGGGAATAAAGTTCAGTTTTGGTGCTCATCAAGTGATGAAAGTTTAGATAGTTCAGATTTATAGCTTTTATTTTTTTTATTTTCATTATAAAAAATTATAAAATTTTAATAAATCTATATTATCATCAATCTGAATAATACGCATTTGATTTAGATAATCTAATTTAATATTAATTTTTTAAAAAAATATATAAATTGACTATTTAAATGTAATCTAGACAAATTAAAACCTAAGTATATCTGAATAGTTAATTTATAAAAATTTTAAAAAAATTAATATTAAATTGAATCATTTGAATTGAATCTGTATTATTCATATTGATGATAAAAAAAATTTATTAAAATTAAATATTTTTTATTTTAATAAATATAAAATAAAATTGAAAAATTTGGACCCAGTTGTCAGGTGATGAGCTAATCGCGTTTGGAATGAAGGGCACTAGAAGAGAAGGATGTGCAGTACGGGTAAAAGGAAGAGAATCCAAGGGACAAGAGCCCCCTTCTTCAGCAAACAAATCCGATTCACAAGCAAATCCCAGCTCGAATCCTTAACGGCAAGCCCATATGCGAATCTGCCATTATTGTGCAGTAAATCGACGAGGTTTGGAAAGACAAAGCTTCACTTCTTCCTTCATATCCTTACAAGCGAGATTAAGCCAGATTCTGGGTTGATTTCATTGACAAAATGGCAGAAACTGATATATAAGTTATTTTATTTTGATTGTTCTACTCACTATCTGTTCAATTAATCTCAGTAAGAAATATATATTTAATCTTTAAGCAGGTGTATGAGAAGTGGAGGAGAGGAAGAGCGATGGTGCTAAGAGGGAGAGGGTCCTTTAATTTCTTTAGTTACTTTCTATTCTTAATATAGGAAGAAGAAGAGCGCCGGTACGGGAGACGGGTGGCAGCGAGAGGGATTTGTTCTTTGATTGCCTTCAACAATTTTTCCCAGAATACAATCTAAACGGCGACGTTTGGTGGAAATGGAGGAGAAAAAGGCGGTAGAAAAGTGAAGTCCACGCCCTTGAAAGCCAGTTTGGTTTCGGTGCTCATGTATTATTTTTATCATCATCTATTCAATATGTGAACTATTTAAATTTTAATTTAGACAGATTAAATTTAAAAAAATTATTTTTTATTTTTAAGATAAAAATTATAAAAATTTTAATAAATTTATTTTATTATCAATTTAAATTATATATATTTAATTTGGAAGATCAAATTTAATATTAAATTTTTTTATAAGTTTTATGTAATAAAATTGGAACAAACATAAATTACTTAAATATTATTCACCATAATATTAACAATAGAACTAAATTAATTAATTAATATTTAACGGTTGTAATGATTCATTTATTCATTTATGCATTGTAATTAATAATAAATTGTTAAGGGCTACCCTCAATCATAAAAATAAACAAGATGCCCTCCTTGCAAGTCGAAACGTGAAGGAGGAGTCGGCTTTAGAGATACTTTATGTCTGTCTTTTATGTATGTCTTTCTATTAATGTTAATTTTGTGCAGACAGATTTAGGTCATCAGATTGTGAGGCTGAGAGCTTGGATGAAGCTGCAATCATTGCCTACTGTCATTTCTATATATTAATACTGTTATTTTTTACTCAGGATTTTTCTTAGTGAGTAATTAGCTGTGGATCTCCCCGTCTCGTCAAAAATCATTGAACTTGATTGTGCTGAACTCTACAAGCTACTCACCAGCAAGATTAATGTCTCTGGATGTATATGCTTGGAAATATCAGAATCTCTTTCAAGATCAATCATCTATCATAAACAAAACTAAAGCTTATCATTCATCAATGTTCGTATAAAAAACTAAAAAATTATAGAAAATCGAGTCGTTTATAAACCAAGTCATTCCAAATTTCGTGGAAAGGCATGGGGCTTTACTTTAGCTGTGCGTTTGAATTAATAGAGATTTGGATTAGAATTTAAACCAATTCCCTACTCATTTGGATACACAAAAATTATGAAAGTTTTAATTTGATTCAAATTCAAATTCATTTCAAATTATAATTTATTTTTAATTTCAAATTTCATATATATTCTAATTATTTAAAATTTTAATCACTTCAAACATCTTGTTCTCATCATATTTTTTCTATTGATACTTCTATGACTATCATATCTTTTTTTTATCTCTTGTTGATTTAAAAATATAAATAAACTCATCATTCCTGATTTTTTGTTTCAAATCTTAATTAATCTTTTTTTTTGTTTGAAATTTTTTAAACTATCCAAACATAGAAATTTAAATACATGAAATTTCAATATGAGATTTAAAATGCAAAATTTTAAATCAAAAATCTAAATCCAAATTCATCAATCCAAATGCTAAAGTGTCTTAGTTATAACTAAACATGCTCCTTTAATTTTGGCACATATACACCACATAAATCAAGGATAATGAAAGTTTTAATCTCTCAAGTTTTACTCAATTATTAATTTGGTCCTTGAAGTTTACATCGGTTATTAATTTAGTTTTTATTATTTAGAGAGGAGATAATACTATTAAAATCTATCAACATGAATAACAAATTATTGTTTATAGTCGTGTAGATTAATAAAAAGAAGTGTAATTATATAGGTTATAAAAAACATGCTCAAATTTAAAAAAAATAATAACAAAATGTAGTGTAAATGACTAAATTGATGAAAGTTAAAATATTTCGAGGGATACTTTGTCCTCATTTTATTATACATATTTATGCATGTAGGTATGTATGTATTTGTATGTATATGTATGTATGTCACAATGTACTTCATACATCAATGTACTTTATACAAAAGTCATCACTAAAAACTTTCTATGGAGACTTTTTAATTTTAAGTGATGACTTTTGTCATTGCTAAAAATCAATTTTTTGCGAATTTAAATTTAAATTTGGATCAAATTTCTTGTCTAGGTAATTTATGGATTTAGATTTATATGTATATATATATATGAATTTAAAATATGTGGATTTCAAATTGAAGATTTGACATGTGAGATTTTGAATCCAAAATTCAAATCTAAATTCACTAATCCAAACACTACTTAATTAGATTAATATAAGACACAATTTTTGTTCAAGAACTTAAAGGATTAATATGATAATTTAAAAAAAATGAAGAGACCAAATTCATAAGTGGGGCAAATTAACTTGAGAGATTGAAAATTTCATTATTCATATAAAGCATAAAAATGAATTGTTGCATTCATAACTTTTGAATAGTATAGTTTGATGAAGAGATCAAATCCATAAGTGGGGCAAATTAACTTGAGAGATTGAAAGTTTCCTTATCCATATAAAGCATAAAAATGAATTGTTGCATTCATAAGTTTTGAATAGTATAGTTTGATAAAGAGACCAAATCCATAAGTGGGGAAAATTAACTTGAGAGATTGAATGTTTCCTTATCCACATAAAGCATAAAAATGAATTGTTGCATTCATAACTTTTGAATAGTATAGTTTGGTGTGTAGATTTAATTATATATATTGATAAAATACAATTAATAAAGTAATCAACAATCGATAATTTAAAAATATAGAAATCACTGGATAAAATTAAGCAAATGTAAAAATATAAAAAAAAAAATCAAAGAATCTCCGAGCTAGTAAATAATGTGAGGTGATAACTTTCCGATGAATAATATTAATCACATATAGTAGACCCTAATTAACATTATATACCAATAATAGTAGAGAAGACATGGACCACACTGTTTTTATCGCTCTATATATATTATCGTTCATTTTCAATATTGTTTGCATTTAATACTGCCAAACAAACTTAATGGGAGCAAGACTTGACTGTTCTATGCAATATATTTAAGCGATCTTTCAACCTATCACATAACATCAAAGACCTCATCAATTCGACAAATTATATGTAAGAACATCATGATCAAGAAGAACAGGACATAATTCAATTGATGTTGAAAATGGATTAAGAAAAGTCCTTTAAGTGCTAACATAGCTTTATCACGGGAAAAATTTAATGGCCACACAAATATACACAAAAAGATAACTTTCGTAATAAGGATAAACTTTATTATATACTTTTCTTTCCCTCCTCATCAGTCGTAAGTCATAATAACTGTCGAATGTGACCAAAGATTTTGACGTCTTGTTTTATGCATAGCAGCCTGTTATTTGTTTTTTTAAATAGTTCATAGGTATTATCTTGTTGGAGGCAATTCTATTTAAGATATTATTGAATATTATATATGGGTGCTAGGAGTGGAACTAGCATTCATATTTGGGAGGGAGATTTATAGAAAATAATATTTATTAATTGGTTTATATTTTTAATTTTAAAATGATCTTACTATCTTAAAAGATCATAAGATAATAATTATACATAATTATAAAATTTTTAAAAAAATTAAATTAAAGTCATATGTTTAATATATTAGTTTTAAAAATACAAAGAATATATAAAAGTTTATATTTATAATATAATTTTATATTTCACTGTT